AGCTATTGTGAAAGGTATTGTTTCTCTTAGTTCTGGCTCTGTATTCTTTTTGTCACGGTAGAGAAAGCCAACTGATTTTTGTATGTTGACCTTGTATCCTGCTACTTTGCTGAATTGGGATAATTTTACTCCCTCGTTGCCTATTTGGATACCTTTTATTCCCTTCTCTTGTCTTATTGCTATTGCTAAGACTTCCAAAACAATATTGAATAAGAGAGGTGATAGTGGGCATCCTTTCCTAGTTCCTGTTCTTAAAGGGAATGGAAAACGAGGTCTTGATCATAGTGTTAGTCACTTCATGTGGATGGATGATTAAAAATATTTGAAGTATAAACTCACCTCGTAAATTTGAAATCTTTTCTGCTCAGATGTTGTTATTTTTCCTTCCAGTGATACGTGGGAGCTAAACCGACACCCAAGCATGTTTCTCCTCCTGTTGGTTTTGGGGAGACTCTACCCTTCTCCAATGGATGGCTCGTCGTCTGCACTCAGCATGGCGCCTTTTGTCCCCTTCATTATGAGGTAAGTAACATGCTGCATGGGAATAATGGGTGCTTGTGGAGGTCTGGAGGAATTTTATCCTTCTCTTAATTCAGAATCACTAGTTTTGTTTATAACTTTGGAAGGATTTCTGTGAAGCCAGCTTCTTGAAGATGCTTGCTGCCCTGACTGCTTTTCAGAGTTTCTGAGGAAAGTGCTTCATGTTGTGAATATAAAAGCTCCAGATGACCTGCGTGGATAGTGTTTTCTTAGAACCCTGCCTAGTCATACATGTATGTAAAACATACCTTGAATGTGCGCGTTAGCTCTATTGTGTGGAGAGTCTAGCAGCTATTCCTGGCCTAGACTTCCACATCTTTCTGTGAGTGCCACACTTGGCCATCATGTGCTCCACTTTCCAGTTTGGAGAAGACCCTGGCTCTTCACTGCAGAGGGGCGAGTCCAGAGAGGAGTGTGCTCGGTGGCAGTGCTGTGTGCCACTTATTCATTTCCCACGCCTTTTCTCTTCCAGGTTTATCATCCTGGGAATGAGCCATGGATGTAGATTACACATGTGTATAAGTAATAACAGACTTTCTTTCTTTCTTCTTCACACATTTCTGAGTAATTTTCACCTTCTGATAACATTTATCATTTCAGATCAAAAGTCTCAATAAACAGACCCCTGAAATGTAATGAAAAGTTCATCTAAAGCCTTGCAGAAGCTTATTTCATTACTTTTTGACAGACTAGCACCTTCATTTTCCTGATCATGGTACATTTTCATATACCAACAGTTCAAATTGATGGAGAGCAGAAGCAGAAAAAATACTAACCTCAAGAAAGTGTGTGTGTTACTTTTGTGGTGTGCCAGGTGCCTCTTCCTGCTTTCATAGAGCTGACTTAAGCATTTTAATGTGAGAAACCATTACATAGAATATTCTACTTGTGATTTCTGTAGCTATTGTTGTGCTGTGTTATCTGTGATCATAGAAGTGACCCAATTGGTCAGCTGATTTTGGTTTCCTAGTAATGCGATTTCCAGCCTCTTATCCCCAGCAATTAGTAGTTCATTTTAGGAATTTGGGTGCTGGACTATTCTTTTATGGGCATTGAAAAAAAAAATAGACTTTCACTTTTAATCAGAAGAAATAAGAAATGTTTCAGCAAGTTGATGCAATATGGAAAGCTAGGTCCAGAGAATCACAGTTGTACTTTAGAAACAAAGATGAGCTTTAAGACCTTGTTACCATGTGGAACCATATTCGTAATAATACTGTTATTACATCCTAGAAACCTGAAATTACTAAATCCAAGTATTCATTTAAGCTGTTAATAATTTACATATAATTTGAATTCTCATCTTATTTGTTATATTGAAAGTGGCTGTTGCTTCACAGGAGAAAGATAAGGAGTCTCCTCCTGGACTGTTTACTGCCTCTGAAAACTCACTGGAAGGGCAGCTGTGTGCTGGTGCCCATGTGATGACACATAGCAACAGCAACAAGAACATCATATATGATAAAAATTGCATCAATGTTTTGTCATTGTTGTGTTAAGTACCATAGAGTAGACTGTGACTCATAGCAATCCTATGCACAACAGACGGTAAACTTGTCTTATCCTGCCTCATCCTAATGATCTATGGTATGCTTGCGTCCATTTTTTATCCCATGTAGTTGAAGGTCTTTCTCTCTCTTTCTCCAACCCTCTGTCTTTTCCAGCATGATGTCTTTTCTAGGGATTGGCCCCTCCTGTCAACACGGCCAAAGTCTGTGAGGTGAAGTTTCACTGTCTTTGCCTAGAAGGATCACCTTGGTTGCAGTTTCTCTAAGACATTTGTTTGTTCTTTTTGCAGTCCATGCAATATTCAGTACTCTTTTCTAAAACCAGATTTGAAAGATAGTGATTATCCTTCTGTCATCCCTAGTCATTGTCCAACTTTTAGATGCATAGCAACTAATTAAAAAGACCAGATCTTGAGTCAGGCACACTTTAAATGTGTCCTTAAACAGACATCTGTGCACTTTAGACAGACCCTTGGCAGCAAATTTCCCCAGTGTAATACATCTTTTGATTTCTTTTTTTTTTTATCTTTTGATTTCTTATCTGCTTTTACTATTTGTGGTGATTATAGATTCATGTAAATGAAATAATTGACAGCTTCAATTTTTCTGCATAGAGATGCTGCCTGTTGGTTGACTGATAAGGATTTTTATTTGCTTGATGTTGAGATGTAACCCATATTGGAAACTGTTGTCTTTGATCTTCTGCATCGTATGTTTAAAGACTTCTTCACTTGCAACAAGAAAGGTTATGTCACTGGCAAAACAAATGTTGTTTAATATTCCTCCAAACCTGATGCCACAATTTGTCATATAGTCTAGCTTCTAAAATTATTTGTTCAACAAACAGATTGACTTGGTATAAAGAAAGAATACAGCCCTGATGCACACCTTTCCTGATTTTAAACCTTGCGGCATTCCCTTATTCTGTTGCAATGACTGCTTCTGGGTGTATGTATTGGATCCTCATGAAAACAATAAGTGTTTTGGGATTCTCTTTCTTCTTAGTGTTAGCCATTATTTGTTATGATCCATATATTCAGTTGCCTTTGCATAGTCCATAAGATAGAAGTAAACATCTTTCTGGCATTCTCTGATTTCAGCTAAGATTTATTTGACAGCAGCAATGATATATCTAGTTTCACAATATCTTCTGAATCATATTAGGTGAATTTAGATGATAGTAAGTGTTCATAATATATTAATTTTATTATAAACAAGCCAGCTTGAATTTCTGGCCATTCCTTGTTGATGTACTAGTCTAGCCGCTTTTGAGTAATCTTCTACAAGATTTTACATGCATGTGATATTAATACATTAATGAAGATAATTTAAATATTTTCAGCATTTTTAATACATTATTTTATAAACTTAGAAGGCACACAGTAAGTAGTCTACAATGATCCCATTCTGGTGAAAAATGCTTTGGTTAGTAGTTGCGTTCTTTCTGTAACCCACAATCATATATTCACGTAGAGTTAGTTAGCCCTGATTTATTGTGTGTCCAGGAGTGGTATAAAAAACAGAACATTATGTGTTGTGCTGCTCTCTCAGTAGTTTGACTCCATCCATAGTAAAGGGAAAAGATGAGCAGTCTTGGCCCCTAGAGATAGGCTGTTGTTGTTAAATGTTGTCATTCATGACTACAGCTTACCCTGTCCTATGCCCTCCATGCTCAAACCATTGTTGCAGTCACTATGTCAGTCTGTACTGTTGAAGGTCTTCCTTTCTTTTGCTGACCTTACTTTTTCAAGTCTGATGTCTTCTTCCAATGACTGGCCCCTCCTGACAACATACCCAAAGTATGTGATGAAGTCTCACCATCTTTGCCTCTAGACAAGACCCTGGTTGAGCCTTATCTGAGACAGATTTGTTTGGTTTCTTTTTGGTCTTTGATGGTATATGCAGTACACTCGCCAGTACCACAATTTAGAGGCATGTATTCTTCTTTGGTCTTTCTTATTCATTGTCTAAGCAGTTGAAATACTGTTTGGTTTGGATCAGGTGCACCTTAATCTTTGATGTTTTTACTCTTTAATGCTTTAAAGAAGTCCTTGACTTATTTCCCCGATGCAACACATTGCATTTGATTTCCTGACTACTGCTACTATATAGGTAAAGGTTTACCGTGTTGGAAACCTGATGACGGGCTAGTATTAGTTAGAATTGACTCTGTGGCAGTGGGTTTGATGGTTTGTTTATAAATATTGCAGAATAATGCTTCTCAAATGGCATCCTCTTCCTAAACAACATGACTCCAGAACTCTATGAACTTTGATAAATGTTGATAATTGTAGAGGGACTTCAGGCCTTTTGATATAGGGTCACTATTAGTCATGCTCAACTTGAAGGCAATTGATAACAACAATACTTCTCAAACTTTAAAGTGTAATGTTTAATGTGTACACTCAGCATTTGGGGAATTTGATTCTTTACATTAGCGGTTCCGAGATTCTGCCTTCCAAATAAACTTCCAGGTAATGTTGATGCTTCTCGTATGTAGACAGTGCTTTGACTAACAAGATTAAGGATACATGAGAAGAAAAAGCCTTCAGGAATTTGCATTATCATTTGGGCTATTAAATTTATGTAAGAAATTGCTAGTGAAAACCATCCATACACTGTAATGTCAGAAGGGGCTATTCCCAGAAGAACATCATTCCTAGAAATGTAGAGGGTTCACAAAATGAAGAAAATATTTAATGAGATGAATTAACTTAGAGTAGTGAGCGGTGATCATGAGAATGGCACAGATGTCAGCATGGCTTCCTTCTGAATGGCATCTGATAATAATACCACACACTCACAGATGTAATGTTGGTAGATACTTTTCTTGTATTAGAAGGTACTGGGAACTCTGGGGGTGTAGTCTATACGGAGTTGTGGTGCTAACCAAAGGCATTGCCTTTGGCAGTTGCAACCCACCAGTGGCTCCTTGGGAGAAAAGTGGCCAATCCCTTTCCATGTGATTTGTGCATCTGAAAGTCTTCACCTCTGAAAACACACTGGGGGCAGGGGGGATGACGACGGGACGGCTCTCTTGGTTCCACTCAACAGCAGTTAATTATTTGAGAGAAAATAGCAATAGTAGGATTATATTTCGTGGGATTCTTTAGGGGAGTTATTGGGACTACATTTTGACATAGGAACGAGAAAAGGGGCCCTTGGCAGAGAGATTGAAGTAGGAAGTAGACGAGCCTTGTTGCTTTACTTTTTGCTAGGAGTGAAACGGAATTTATTGTTATTATTATTATTTTTTAAAAAAACAAACCAAAACCCAAAAACAATGACTCTGAGAGGCAAACATGATATCTCCCCTCTTTCACTGGTGGGGAAATTGAGGTTTGGAAAGCAAGCCAGCTACCCAGATGGAATCTGAACCTTACCTGCCCTTTATTATTCCACAAGAGCCCGCTCTCCTCTGTGTAGCTGAGAATTTTAGCTATAGGGTAAACTATAGGTGTGTGTGGCTGGGAT